AACCATTAGCTGAATATACTATCAATAAAATCCTGGGTCACAAGTACTCACCTTAATATTTAAAAAAAAAAAAAAAAAACTGCATAATTGAGCACAAAGATCTGAGAAACTATAGATTATTAAGACAAGAGATAGCAACAAAGCAAATAAGCAGCTTATTTACAAGACTTAATAGAAGAGATATTTTAAGTAATCTAATAAAGCTTAGAATAGCTTAAGAGTATCAGAAAGCAGGCTTAATAAAAGACATTTGGAACTCTGAAAGAAGATTAAAAGAAATAAAGTATTAGAAGCACAACTTAGTCTGTCAAACAATAGTTAAAGCAAGAGAAATAGAAATAAACATCAGAACAGAAAATTACCTATAGAAAGTATATAGTTACAAAATAAGTATAAGAAACTTAGTTAGAATTAAATTATAGACAGAAAGTAGTAGCACAATAAATGAATAGGGTTTAATATATTTAAACCAACTTGTAAACATAAAAAAGGAGAACTTAATCATATAAAGACAGCTCAAAAGTCTTTTAGAACTGTTATATAAAAAGAAAAAAGCAAAATAGTTCAGTAAAATAGAAGAAGAGATGTTAATAATACAAACAAGCAGAGTAGGCAACACTATATATATAGTATTGCCTATTTACTCTAGATTGTTACCTACTTATGAGTATATATTGTTACCTTCTTATAGGTATATTGTTACCTACTTGTTTTATAGCTATTCATTTTGATCTCTATTAAGCTTGCATTATCAGAATTAGTGTTCCTAATCATTAGTTGAAAAGTCAACTAGTTGACAACTTTTCAACTAATCGATTTAAAAAAATTGAAAACAACTAATCGATTAACTATCAACTGGATCAACTACAACTAATCGTTAGTTGTCAACTAGTTGCCAACTAACTATTATTTATATTAATTAACTAAATAATTTTTAATAGTTATATATTAAAAAAGGATAACATATATATATATATGTATGTACGGTGCAGTAGATCTAAACTAACTTATTGGAGATAAACTAAACATGCTATTACATACACATTGTTCTTTGCTTATTGTTTTTATGCAAAGAGATTGTGAGTTCTAGTCCCTTTGCTTATGAGATCGAAAATTTAGAAAATTTATTTTCAGTATGCTACTTGTTATAGAGATATTGAAGTTTTTAAATTTTTATGTATGTACATATGTACATACGTATGAAGTAATTGTGTTACATGGTCTTAATCGGCAATTGGTTAGAATAATGAAAGTTAACATGTGCATAGTTTACGTACATTACATATGATTTCGCATAAGTTTATGATAATACATATAATTTTGCATGAGTTTATTTAACATGCATATGATTTCATATGATTTTTATTAAATTTAGTGAATAGTATAAAAAGGAAAAAAAAATTACAAGGGGTTTTTTTCAATAAAAGTCATTGAAAATTTTTTTTATTTTGTCGTTCTCATAACCAACATGTGAATTAAAGATTGGTTGTTATTAGTAAAGAAAAGGATAATACAAATGGACACGCTATATGATAAAACCTACTAGTTCATTTCTGTGATATTAATTGGTTTTTATATAATTCAAACCAGGTGAATATGCAGTTAAATGGATTATATGAATTAGCATTAGTAAATTATAATTTAAAGAAAAATATATTAACATTAATAATCAATTTGCTTACGTTGATAAAAATCATATTGATTTAAGCCTGGATATTAACTTGTATAGAACTCGTTTTCTTGGTTTTATGATTTGTAATATGTATCTTTAATGTCAAAAATCGAATGTTCAATAGTATAAAAGGGTAATAACAAAGAGAGGAAGGGGTTTTGCTATTTGGTTATATATTGTAAAAGGTTCATGATGAATGATTCTAATAATGAATTTAATTTTTCATCTGGCCAAGATAAAGAAAGTAATGTCGAATTATTAGCTTCAACATCTATATCTACTTCAGCTTTATCTACCTTGGTTTTGTTTACTCAAAATACAAAGGTTACTAAAAAAAAAAAAAACGAAAACACCTGGTAGTTTTGTTTGAAAGTTTTTTGAAAGATATACTGCGTTGGAATTATTAGATAATAAAGAAGTAGAAGTAGAAAAGGTTTCTTGTAAATTTGAAGATTGCGATACAGAATATGTATGGCTAGGATTAACCAGTAATTGTATAACCCATCTTCATGATATACACCAAATCACCAAAGAATCACTTAAAAATACATTAGTAAAAGCAAAGCAACAAACAATTTGCCAAGTAATTTTAAGACCTCATTCTTCTCATGTTCAAAAAAAGCTTACATATCAACTTGTGTGCTACATAATTGCACATGCTTAGCCTATTTCTATTGTTGATAATAATGATTTTAGGCTTTGGACAAAAAATCTCGATCCCTGATTTAAAGTTTCATGTGTTAATACTATTAAAACCGTTATATTTAACTTCTATGATTCTGCAATAAATCAAATTATAGATCTTATTTTGAAGACATCAGATACTGTTTCTTTAACCTTTGATCTTTGGTCATCACAAGCACATGATAGCTATCTTGGAATCACTTGCCACTGGCTTACAGATTCATTTGATTTGCATGAGATCATACTTAACATTGGAGAGTTGAATAAACATCATGCATCTGATATTGTTGAATCTGTTAATTCTGTTCTTAATAAATTTAAAATTAATTGTCAAACCATTTTTTCTATTACTACTAATAATAGATCCAATGTCAGATCCACAGTGCAACAAATAGGTATTTCTAATGTGAAATGTGCTGGGCATACACTTCAATTGAGTGTCAATTTAGGTTTAAAGAAAGTTGATAAAATCATTTCAAAATGTAAAGCACTTATCTCAATTTTATCAAAAGAAAAAAAACATAGACAACTTCATGAAGCTCAATTACAGATTACTTCAGGGCTTAAAGAGCTACTTGATGTTATTAAAGATGTGAATACATGTTGGAATTCTACTCTTTATGCTATTGAACGTCTTGTATATTTAAAACCTGCTATCATACAATTATACTCAACTCTTACTAACCATACAATTAGGAAGGTCAGAAAAGGAGCAGAAACCATGGGCCCTTATATTCCTTTTTTGGAAAAATTTGAATTATTAGAAGAACTTATCAAAGTTCTTTTCCCTTTTGATAAAGCCATTCAATTTTTAAGTGGATCGAAGTATCCAATACTGGGTTTCATGACACCAATTTTGGAAGAACTTGCTTGTCAGCTTAGATATTTTATTGGACAAAATAGTATGGCAATTCTTGTTAAAGATACAATTTTAGACAATTTAATTGAACGGTGGAGTAATTCAAATGAAATAGGCATGTGCTGCTCCTTCCTTAATCCATGTTTTAAAAAGCTAAATTTCTGCACTAGTGCTTTATGATATACAACTATTCAGAATATATGTCAACAATTTAATGAACTATGTCCAATACAAATCTCCAATGATAATCTAACATCAACTAATGATAATAATCCATCTTTAACATCTTCATATCAACGTAAAAAAACTAAGATATTAGCATTTTTTACACATTTGCATACAAAAAACTCTAACATTGAGCCTGATGAATTTGACTGATATTGTGAACTCCTCTCAATTGCTCTTGACGAAGAATCTTGTCCTTTAGAATGATAGCATAAACACAATACTTCTTTTTTACTATGGCGATTTTAGCAAGAAAATATCTTGCAGTGCTGGCATCTTCTATACCATCAGAGTGCCTATTTTCTGATGCTGAAAATCATGTAATAGATAAGTGTAATAGACTTGATCTAGATTTTTTAAACAAATTGGTATTTCTTAAAAAAAATATGAAATCTATTAATATTTTTTCTTTACTTAATTAAATCATATTTTTTATTTACTGAATATTTTTTATAAAATATTAAATAAATCATATTTTTATCATTTATAAAATTCGAATTTTATATAGAGTTTCATATTTAAACTTAAACTTACTAGTAGCAATTTACAGGATTTAACTTTGTGAGTATTATATCTATATATTAGTACTCAAATTCAAGTTTAATAACTTAATATATATTAACTTTATTATTAGCATGATAAGCAATAGCTATATATTATTCTTTAAATAGCATAGTGAATATAAATTTACAATTTAGCATTTATCTTTAGACAATATTTTTCAGATTACTTAAGAATTACTTGTTAAAATTCACAATTCAAGCTTACAAGTATTTACTTTAAATAGTATTTCCAAGTTGTTTGATTATGTGATAGATTGTATATATAATACTCTTTTAATTTGCAATTTGAACTTATATATACTTATCTAAAAGCAGTACTTTTCCAGACTTTTAATTCACATTAATTTGGTCTGTATTGAATAATCTTTTATTGCACATCTAAATCTGTGATTTGACTTGTAAGTATTTCATTAAATGTGCTTTCTAATTTAATTTGAACGAATATGAATATACAAATATTTATCTTTTTTTAGTCATTGATGTTATACTAATCTATGGGTATAAAGATTATTTGCTACTCTATTTAAAATTTATAATTTGAATATATATAACTATTTTATTAATATAGCATTTGTTAGTCATTTATTTCGCATAAATTTTATGAGTATAAAAATAATCATCTATTAAGTTAAAATATGCGATTTAAATTTATAATCATTTACCTCAAATAGCAACTTTCAAATATTGAACTTAGCATTATCATGGTATGTATTAAGTTCGATAGGTCTGTATTATTTTACTGATGATCACTTAATAGACATTATATTTCACTGACAATTACTTACCAACAAGTTCATTTTATATCAAAGCTCATTTCACTAACTAGTTTTTTTTTTTATGATTTACACTAATTTAAACTTTAATTCTAACCTGACCATAATGTTATTGACCAGAATTACTTTTCTGTAAAATGAGCTTTGGTGAAATAAACTGTTAGTAAAATAAACTTGTCAGTAACTAATTGTCAGTGAAATGTGGTGTCTACGAATTGATTATTGGTGAGTTGATCAGATCTCAAGTTGGACCTATTATTTTATTTAAACCTTATAAATCAAGCTTACAAGTATTTTCTTTTGAAAGCATCCTTCTAGTCATCTGATTTTTGTTACTTTGGTGGGTATAATATTTATTTATTTATTATTTAATTAAAATATTCAAACTCAAGGTTTCAATTCAAGTCTTACCTTTAATAGTGCTTTCTGAGTTATTCAATCTGCATTAACTTAGTAAGTATAACTTTAATTGCCGTAATGCTGAAAATGGCTAATGCTGAAAATTGGAGTCTTTATTTGAGAATATAAACTCTACTCAAAATATTCTTATTAATATACTTCCAATTCCTGAGTCCGTATTGTTTCACTGACAATCACTTTATAGGCATCATATTTCACAAACAATTATTCATCGACAAGTTCATTTTACCAACAGTCTATTTCACTGAAGCTCATTTCATCAACAAGTTTTTTTTATAAATTACACTAACTTTAACTCTAGTTCTAATCTAACTTTAATGATATTGACCAGATTACTTTGTCTGTAAAATAAGCTTCAGCGAAATAAACTGTCAATAAAATGAACTTGTTGGTAAGTAATTGTCAGTGAAATGTGGTGTCTACGAAGTTATTGTCAATAAGTTGATAGGATTCCCAATTCCCAGCATTAGATATTTTTAGTATTAATTGTGTTATTAATTAATTATTTTCTTTTATCTTAACTTATAAGTTTACTTTAATAGTGCATCTGAAATTCATTAATTTATCTTAATTTGGTGAGTGTAAAGACAATTTTAACTATTTAACCTAAATTATAATTTAAGCTTGCTTGTTTATTATCCCTTATTAAATAGCTCTTTCAGAATTATTTATTTCACTTGAATTTTGTGAGTGTCTTTTTTTATTCTGTCTAAACAGTATTTATATGCTGTTAAAAGTTAGAATTGATTAAAAGGTATAAGAATAGTTGGATTTTTGTTTAAATCTGTGAATTTAAGCTTATTTGAATATCTATTGGTAAAAATTATTTGAATAGTAGCAAAAAAAATCCAGAAAAGCAGCTATCAGCTCTAATAATTAATATTATAAATAAATAAGATGAAAATATTTCAGAGTTTTTAAATTTTTTTTTTAAATTTTATATTGTATTATTTAACCAATTTATTTAATAAAAAAAGTTATTCAAACTTGTATCTGAATTTATTTGATATTTGTAATTGGCATTATAGCTTATGCCTACTATTAGTAAGCTTTTAATTTAAAAGACCTGATATAAAAAAATTTTTGAATTATAGAATTATCAAACTCTGATTTGATATAGCGAAGTATATATTGTATTTTCTTATTATAAGCTAGAGTGTAGACTTTTTCTTAATAAGAATAAATTGTAGCTTTATATTATTACAAGATTATAAAACATATTAATATTTTTTATTTGTAACTAATTTTATTGTATCAACTATTCAACTAAACAACTAAACAACTAAACAACTAATTAGTCATGTAATGCTAATAATCGATTAGTTGCCAACTTTAGTTGCCAACTAATTGATTAGCAAATTTTTACCAACTAGAAACACTAGTCAGAGTCTAAGTTATTCTCATTCATGTATGACGATGGAAATGCGACATCTTCATCATATGATGATAGGGACATATATGCATTATTATTTAAGTAACAATTGGTTTACAAGTTTGTCGTCATTCAAGTGATAATAAATCTTGCCAAAATTTTGTTAAACAAAAAATGACTAATATGCTAACGATGTATTCAGTTGCGTGTCATTATTTGTGGGCCTGATGTGAGGACTATGCCTGAACTGGGTATATAGTGCCCTAGTTTTCTGGTTAATTTCTCGATAAGGGTCAGAGTTGAGGCATGTAGTGCTGAAATAGTATTTATATCTTAGCTTTGTATAATGCACTCAAATATCACTCGAGGATGAGGCATGTAGTGCTGAATGATTATTCTTACTTGGTAGCTCACAAAAGTATAATTTTATTTTATATATATATCTGTAATAATTTTACCTTTGTGGGCCACTTTTTTTATTCAAAATAATACTTATATAATGTACTTGATTATTAATTAAGAATAAGGCACTACGTGCCAAATTGTTATCCTTATCTGGTGGCCCATTAAAGTATAATTTTATTTTATATATATTTGTAATAATTATTCCTTTATGGGCCAGTTTTTTTTACTCAAAATATTACTCAAACTAAAAAATCTTTGGTGGCCAACATTTTTTGGTATAAGTTGTCTCTACTAGTACTACTTAAAGCATACTACTTATTCTAAACTGTATTCTGATTGAAATTATATAACACAAAAATGGTTATTGAAGAAGCTAAGCTTTGAGTCTCTGACTCATACATATCTTAATCCATATACTGAAAGCACTTACCAAAATTTTATTTCGATCTGGCAGGCAGGTATGCAAATCAGATGACAGTGACTGCTACCATAACCCAGAAACCTCTTTTGTTATCTAAATCTTATTATTCAAAATCCTATGACACAAAAACCTTTTTATATAATCCAGGTATCAGAATATTAATTTTTTATTTGAATTTTTTCTTATACTTATTGTAAAAGTGATATAAATCTCTTTACTCAGATATATAACTAGCTGAATGTAGCAATCTTTCTACTCCAAAAATTATTACTTAACTAGATTGTATTATCTTGAACAACAGTTATACATATTCAATGAGAGCCAAAGAGCAGGTTTTTAATTCTTTTTTGTATGGAGTGGTAGGAACCTTCATTTTAGTCTTGAAATTTCGCTTATATTTCAGAAAAGTGATCTTGTTCATACTCTTATACTCTTTTTTCCAATAATTATTATTATCCTGCATTTCAAAGACAATCTTGGTTTTCCATTATTCTAATCTTTCTTGAGACATTTAAAATTTTTGTTGTAAATAATAGATAAGCATATTTATATCAGATTCATTTTTAATAAGAAATTCTAAAGATAGAGAAATTGCTGAAGGCAGGCATATCATATCTAAGAATTTAGGTATCTCTTTCTTATTTTCAGTAATACTTGAGAATTGCTCTGCATCATTCAATCAATTTTGAGTTAATACTGAAAAAGGCAATTGTGACAAATTTGTTACAGATTTCTCAACTATATTATTGCAAGAACTTTTTTTATAAACCTCATTACTGAATTTTGGAATGGCTATATTAGTAGTAATAGGTATTGAATCAAAAAATTCTTGAGTTTCATTAATCAATTCTGGCTTATATGATGGAAGAATTGGAGTTATAAAATGATAATTAGGAGTATTTGACTTTATATTCATTAGTTCTTCTTGAGTTATAAGTCTAGCTCCATTATCTGGCACATGATAAATTCAATAAGTGCTTTTTCATACTCTTTGATCTTTTGGTCCTTCTCTTTTTCACCCACTCTTGACACTATAACTGCACCAATTTCCTGCTATTGCATTAATCAATTTTACTGTAGCTTTGAGATCAGAAGTTCCCTTAGCCTGGGATTTAAAGCCAAAGAGTAGCAAGGCATCTTCTCAGATTTTAACAATTTTTTCTTGTAATTGTTTGAAAACTTTTGTCATATCATCACCAGAAAGAATTTTTGTATTGTCAATACTACTGAATCCTACTGATTGGAAAAGACTACGTACTGCTTCCCATTTTTTGCTGAATAAAATTTATGTAAATCATTTAAGGCTGGATCCATAGAATCGTATGAATCTTCCCATTGCATTGATTCTTTGATTTTCAGATTTTCCAAAGTCTTTATTTCATCTGAACCTTGTCTTCGATAATAGGCAAGTCTTCTAAAATATTGCAAAGGTTCAAAGTTATTATATTTTTCTACGAAATCTTTATTACAAAGTTTAATCCAATCATTATTGTTTATGCATCAGTTCTGAATGTCATCCTTGTTACCTAAAGCATATGTTTTCCATAAATAATGATGTTGTAGAGCAATATTATCAGTGAAAAAGCATATAGGATTTTGCTTAAGAATTTCAGCTTCATCGAGAGTAATATCAGATGCATTTGCTATTGATTCTGCATCTGCACCTTTAATTTTTTCCTCAATATTCTTAATAGTATGAGAAATTTTCTTCCTGTTAACTTTTTCAGTATCTTTTAGCAAAATTAATTCAAGAGTTACTCCAGTACTAGCAATAAGACTGCAAAGAATTTCAGGAAAGTATTTAGCTGATAAGCGTCTCTAATATTCAACTTCGATATAGGTTTTCACTGTTGAAGATAAATTAAGTGCATAACAATTAGTAATTTTATCCTATACATGCTGGTCTTTTATTATTGTTGATAAGTCTCTAGGCCTTAATGCTGAAAGTTCAGCCCAAATGAGTTCCTGGCATGGTTCTTTGAAAATGTTAAATTTTTTGCTATGATGAAATGAAACTATATGTAATAGGCAGTCGCAGATTCTGAATAACATCTGAGCAAATGCTTCAATATAAACTGGAGTGGCAATATTAGTAATTCCTATAACTGCGTCAAAATAATCAAAAATTTCAAAAGAGATGCCAGCTTCCACAGTGCTTGTATAAATTATACAGTCAAGAGCACTCCAAGTAGCATCAATATTAGCAAAATCATCTTGATATTGTTTCCCATCTATTTGGCCAAAATAAACTCATGATAAAATGAATGAACCATCCAGTTTTTGCAATTTAGATGCTTGATTAGCTAAGGCTCAAGCTTTTTTACAGAATGTCATAACAAATGCAACATGCTTACCTTTTTGGAGCATTCTAAAACCTCTACGTATAGCTTCTGAACCTTTATCTGGATCGTAAAGAAATTTAACAATCTCTCCTTTACATGGTTAATATTTGTTATCAATAACTCAAACATTCTCACCACAATATGATTTTAAGAAAGCTAAAGTTGAATTGTTTGCAAAAGCATCCATAGCAACAACATGAGTAGCTACATTTAACAAATTATATATAGCATTGAAAGATTCTCGAGCATGAACTCCACTAGCCATTTGACACATAGTGGAATTTGCTTCATCTAAAATTGCTATACAGAAATGACCCTCTCGAAAATCAAAACAAAAAATACTTTCAACTTGTACAATAATAAGATCCTACTTACATGTCTTTAGGTTAGCCACAATATTCTGATATTGCTCTACTTTGAAATCAAAATTTTCCAATTCTTTAAGTTTAGCTTCGGATTCATTACTAAGGGTTTTGCGATATAAACCCAGATAGTACAAGGTAAATTAGCACCACTTTGAGCTAAAGATGCCAAAATTTTTCTTAATGTTTTAGTTTTCCCAGTACCTACAGTAGAACGAATAAGAGTAGTACTAGGCTCTTCATTTAAAAAGTCTGAAAAAGCATTTAGAGCATCCTCTATTTCTTTTACATTAATATTTTCTCCAGATAATTTAGAAAATTGATGTGGAGTTGATAGAGTCTTGGGTAATCTTTCATATAATCTCTACTTCTTGGACTTTTCTTTCGATTATACTTTATCTGATATCTTATCAAAGCTAAGGCTCTTGTGATCTGGCTTGTATTGTTTTTGGTGATAACACTTAAGTATAAAATGCCCATTTTTTCGAATAAATCCATAGAGTTGGTTTTTTTCATGTTTAACATCACATATAAGGCATTCTTTTATTGATTGTGAATAAAAGTTAACAAACCTTTTCTCAATTCTTCCAATCTGAAGCCATCAATATTTTTCAATAACTAAATTAGCACCTTTAACTATAGCATCTTCATCATTAATATGTTTGAATTTCTTTTCTGTTAGTTTTTCTTCTAAAAAAGTCTATGGCCAGATTATGAAATAATTGAATTTTGGTTGAACCAAATAATCTTTTAATTTTTGAAATCTATTTTTAACAGAGGCAATAGCTAGTCTTTTGATACGTCCTTCTTTTGCTGATCCAAGAAGCTGAAGATTAAAATGTGTTTTAGGAAGGCCATTATTAATAAATTTGGAATAAGGTTCCCTAACTAATTTTATAACCTTTTTTGTGAATCCCTTAAGTTCTCTATAATCTATGAATTAGGCATGAGAATAAATAATATGCCAACTACATTTCTCAGCATTTGATGAACTTGCCAAAACAAAGTTATTTAATGATATCATGCAACCCATTGCAGAATATAATGTGTCTGCACAAGCAACTAAAATTTGAGATATCAAATCTTCTTAGTTAATTTTTTTACTATCTAAGGAAGCATGTTTAGGATTATTTAGATCAGGTTTTTGTCTTGCATCAATATCAATAATTAAGTGTAGAAGCTGGTTTCCATTGATACATTCATGAGTATCAGGTATTCTATAAACTTCACTAGAATAATCGATCATTATATAACCTTTTCCTGCTATCTGAATTACATATTGAGAATGAATCTCCTTAGGTCGATATGTATCTAAAAGTGCAGTATCATTTTTATCAGTATGGCCATTGGATGCAAGCCAGTATTTATAAAATGTATGTTCTTTATGGCTGGATTCATAGTTAAGATCTGTTAAACCTATAAAAAGCCTTTTTGCTTCATTATATTCAGCTAACTTTTGATTAAAGTACTGTTGCTATAATGATTTATGAAGACATTTTTTTGCTTTACTAGACAAACTCATTTTATTAATTTGTATATATATTGTTTGTATATGCATATTGTTCAATCTGACAAAAAGTATATGTTATTGAAACTATATTAATTGGTAGATAAATCTTTAAAATAAAATTAATTATTCCAGAAATTTTAGCCGAATGCCAAAAATAATTATATATTTAATTGAAGTAATTATATATAATCATAATAATATTATATCATTGCTCATATATTCATAGAACTGGAGAAATTTATGGTTGATGTAGTAAATCAGAAAGATGTTATATTTATCGTAATTCTCCAATACCTACTCCTTGTAGAGATTGTGATGAGCTAAATAAGTCTAAATATAATGCATGCAATAAATACGTAAGAAAATATAAAAGTAAAGAGAATTATGACAGAAAAAAGCAGAATGAGTTATGTGCACAAATTACTAGGTTTAAGAATTATATATCTGACTTCTCTGATTCTATGCACGAAGTCTAATCATATACCTAGCATATATTTATATTGATTATTTTTTCCAGAACCTCTTATTTTGAAAAAATAACACTTATGTGTCTAAATAATATTATATCCTCTTTGATGTCTTCTATATTTTTGGTAATTTTATTGTATAAAGCTACGGATTCCAAGACTTTATTTCAGAAGAAATAACACTTTGTGCCTGATCGAACTTGTGTCTTGTTCATGTCCATTTTCTGATAAGATTACTCAAACAGCAATCTATTTAATTTTGAATATATATACCAACTCATGATAATTAATTTTGAATTGAAAAAAATAAGTAGGTTAATCTATAATCAAATTCTACTTATTGATATAGATTATTTATATATCTATCATGGCAACTGTTCAAAAAACTAAAAAACCTAAAACTAATAGTTTTACTTTCATTTTGGATCAGACCCTCAATAAATATAACCTATCGGCTGAATTAAACCTGCTTCAATTATGTGCTTATGCTGATGAGCTTAGTACTATGCTACCAGATTAGAAGGCTTGTAAAGATGTGAAAGAGACTCTCTGTTAGCACTTATTTAAAGAAAATCAAATAAGAGCTCTGGTTCCAAACAACAAAAAGAAAAGGCTTACTATTAAGAAAAGAGCTCAATATTGTGCAAAAACTAAAGATGTGTGGAATATTTGATTACATACTTTAGACTTAGCTATGCCAAAAAATAATACAGATGAAGCAATTGTGACAGCCAGTTCTCATATTTCACAATTTCATAAAGAGTTAGCAGAAGCTGAAATTGATTCTAAGCAAATTTATATATATGCCAAATTACCAGAAGTTACTTGAGCTTTTAATGAAATTCAAAAGAGACAACTTGAACAGTGATTACCCAATCCACCTAAAACTCCCAAACACTTTTCCTTAGAAGAAGGACTTAGAAGAATTCAAAATATCAATACTACTAAAATTCCTACTATGCAAGATCTTGCAAATATAATTATAATATTAAATATAAGATCCGCCAAAGTTGTCACTCTTCATATTATTAATTATGAACCTGGTAAATCAAATCCTCCTGAATGGTACAAGTCTAGTTATTCTTGGTATTGTATCAAGTATATTAAAAATAAAGGAGAAGCAAAAAATAATCCCGAACCTCGGCAATTTCTATCTATGAAAAAGAATCCAAAACGTGCAAAAGAATTGCTTACCTGGATCCAAGATGCAATAGCAACTAAAAAATTATGCAATCCTGTCTTTAGTATTAATGGAAAATGCAGTACAGGAGTATTTAGTAAATTTTTAAAATCATATGGTATTACAACCAAAAGATTAAGAAAAATTAGAAGTAAACATGCTTCTAAAGTTCATGATGATCAAAATCCAACTTTGCAATATCTCGAATTCCTTAGCAGAGTTGTAATGAGACATAAGATGGATCATCATAATTCTGGAATGTATTATACTGAGGATGATACTTCTGATTTGACCTTAACTCAAATCCAGATCCTGAACCTGAAGCCTTAGCTCCCACATCCAAGGCAATTAATGAGAATACTTCTGAAATTGAGGATATCTATGGCTTATATAGGAGTATTTAAATTAGTTTATAACTTATTTATTCATTTACTATAACCTAACTTTATCGTTTTGAACCTGCTTTACAATAATTAGACTTATTAGATATTTTTTAAGTAAAGTTATATATGCAAACCAACTCATTAACCGCATTTACCTATAAGCTAAAAATCATCTTCAATTGCCACCGAAGATCTAGCAATGATCCTTTATATCAAAACTTTGACTTTCCTAACTTATACTAATTAATTTGTAAATGAACAGATCACCAAATCCGAAATAAAATTTCATAAAATCTGCAAATTAGTTTGTTAATATGGAAATATATTATAAAACAGAATAAATAAATAATAAATTTCAAAAACTTATCTGGTTAAAATTCGGGTAAATGTATTGATTTAGATATTATATCTGTTTATTTTTTAGCTATCAAATAATTTCAGATAATAAAAAAATAATATATAGTCAGGTAAGTATAAAATGATAAGAAAAATTTTCATCATTAACCAACTTATCATAACCTATACTATGAGTAACGAACTACTTAGTGAAGGAGAACTTACCAAAAAATACCCCAAACGAGTAGAATTATTAAAAGCTTTAGAAATAAATATCTTAAAAGGTCATCCAAACTCTCTCGTAAATAATATCACAATACTGGAACTAGAGAATTGTCATGAATATAATGAAGAAATTTTGTTAAATCTACCCAAAACATTTATCACACTCGTATGTAATCATATACTCCATCATAACTGTCTTGAAAAAAGTAATAAAGATAAGCAAAAAACTTGTTCCATTTGTTTCATAAATAATGAAGAAACAACATCAACTGAAGTTCAAGACATAAATATGTCTGAAGCAGTAGAAGATGAAGGTGAAGAAACCTCTAATCTAACAGGGTGGTAAGTAAGTTATCTGTAGATGGTAGTAAAACTATCTCATAAAGTGAAACAAAATCCATAAAACCTGATAAAGTATAAAGTTTAATAAAAGAACTATCTATGCTAAGTAAGCCAATTGATAATAATGATAGAGAAAATAAGAGCAAAGAATCAAAACCAATAACTTTACTCCAGTTATACTATAATGCAAACTGGACAGAAAAACATGTAACCCATGCCTACCAAGAAGAAATAAGATGCTAATATCTGTTTGCTAAAAAATTTGAAGAAAGAGTTAAAGAAATAAAAAATGATAACAGTAGGTACAATGACCAACAAGC